CCTCCCATGTCCCCCATGGAACTGTCAGTCCCATTTTTTTCTCCTCCAGATTGTTTATCCTGCATATCTTATCTAGATAGACCTGCAGAGATAATACTATGCACAAAAAACAAGACAGCAAAAGAAACCAACAAAAGAAAGCAAAATAACAACAAAAAACAATGACATGAAAAAAAAGAAAAGCCTGTAAATAGTTCTGTAAAGGTCTGTTTGTTGACCTTTAGGAGTGTTTTCTGGTTCAGTCTGATGGGGAGCCATACCCTGGCCCCAAAGCCTATTTTTGGTATTCCCTGGGAACTTACTTGCTCTGTTCCCATTGTTCTGTTACACATCCTTAGTGTTTCACCTCAGTGTGGTGGAGTCAGATTGGGTGCAATTCTCACACTGTGTCTCAAGTATTGTCCTCCTTAGTGCTATGGGTCCGTCAGGGACATCATGTCTCATAGTGGGATCAGCCCTATGGTTCTCTCTGTGCTTTAGCTGCTCTGAGCAGGTATATAGTCCTCAAGGCTTGGTGGTCCAGGATGTGTTCCAATCTCTCTTCATCTCCCTTCAATTGCTCCTGTGTGCTCTGATCAGACATGCCCCTCTCCCTGAACTGTAGCTTCAGTGCTGTCCTATGAAGTTATTTCTTCTGCGGGGAGGGAGGGCTATCCACATAATTGGGTTTGGGGCTGGCCCCTCAGACCTCTCTATTGGTTCCCTGTTTCATGCTGATACGTTGCATTCATGTCTTGGAGCATGGTTTGAAGTCTGGTCCCTCTTATCCTATGGAGATCTAAACAGCACACTCCCCTTGAGTGGGTTAATGCCCTCTTCCCACGCTACTCATGTCTTTACTTTTTTCATTATTCCCCATTCTTTTTAGTTGGCTAACATATATATCCCTGAATTTGTTCTGGCCCCTGACACGTTACCTGGTCCTCACCCAGGAATATTTGTATACATTAGCTTTTGCCCTATGCCACTTTTGCGTTTTTTAACTTACCTCAGCCAACTCAGGTTGCATTTGTCCATTAGTGGT